TTTTACTCGTGCTGAATAGAATTCTTTTCCATCGACGTAATCTGCTGCATCGCAGTCCCTTTGGGGATTACTCTGACCCAGCGCAGAGAAGAATAATTCTATTGAAACTATCCGCTGAACAAATATTACACGCGTGGCATAGTGAGAGTGTAACAGTGTATATATTTCGTGGATAAATTTATGGATGAATCATTTGTTTCGTTATATTTTATCAATTTGATTTATAAATAAGTGGAACGCGTTAATATATACATATATATGTATATATTATGAAATAAGGGAGGAATTGTAGTTGTAGAGATTTTAATGCATCTTTTAGGATATATATGCAGTTTAGAAGTCACTTCTCCATATATAGGGCAGACACATATTCAAAAGTTTTTGAATTATCTTCTCGAAACTTCTTCACGTAAATTATGAGTACAAGTTACGTTACTTGTTTGTTGTTGATTGTTTGAAGTTATAAATTACGTTACGTCAATTTGTAAAACTTAATAGAAAAATATGTACGGAATATGTTAAATATTTTTATAACTATTTTCTATACTATTTTCGTTACTCTATTCGAATATTAAAAAGAAAATTAGTAAAGAGTAAATTGATGACCAACAAAGAAATATTTATATAATAGAGAAATTACAAAATATTATACGAAACGAAATGACACGATATTGAAAAAAAAAAAGAAGATAGAAATTAAAGGAATACGCTTGGCCAATTTATATCACTTAAGAATTCATTTTAAGTCAACATGTCCGATGAATTTCAGAGGCAGATGCATCTATTGTAGCCTAATATCCTTCACGTACCTGTTGTACCTTATGTATCTCTTGTACCCGATCACGTGATGCATCTAATGCACTTGACATATCAGATGTGTCCAACCTAGGCTTGAAATGCTCAATCCACGTAACATGATTCATTTCGTTCATCTGATTCGCTTGATTTGCGTTATCTGATTTGCTGGCCTTGCCAGAACGTATGCGATACAAAAGATCGAACAGATTATAAAATACTTAATGAAACATCTTTGACATACATATTATAAACGTAACTTATTTAAAATTTTCTTCTCTATGCGTTATCGAAAAATTAATATCTAATCCGTATTTATTTCCATGCAAATGAACTGTGATTCCTTAAAAAAAATTCCACTATTCCAACAATTATATAATTACATCAAAGAACTATTCTGTTCCACAACTACTTTATTATTATATCAAAAAATTACACCAAAGTTTGCCAAACCGCCAAAGCATTAAGCCGAGAATTAACTTCTTAGAGGTATATCGAAGCATGATATTGATAGCAAGATAAACGAGAGAAGTTGCACGCAAGTGGCAAGATGAACGATTAAGAGGAAACTGCTTAAAAACACGGATGGCAAACTGGGGAAAATTACAGAGCTTCTGACAATTAATTAGTCATGCAGTGGATTAGATACCTTGCAGGGAGCTAATTACTCGCACCTCTTTGCCAGTCATCGTGTCACGTTGCGGTTCGACACTGATACGGCCGCGATGGCTGCTGGAATCTCATCAACCAACCTCGGGTACTGACGTGCCCGTAGGTCGAAAGGCCTATCGATCATATGACCACAACGAGTTTCAAGACACCGGCCCTGTTTCGCGTTGAATAATTTGACATTAATTAAGTCTTCCAAGTTCCGCGTCGCTTAACATTGATATATCGTTTTTAAATAAATAAACGAGATATTGGCGTAAATATTTTAACAGATATATAATTATATATCTGTAATATTGTCACGATAATAGTTAGAATCTCATTCCTCATTCTATTGTTTGCAATATATATTTTTGCACAAGGCGAGTCCTTTTTTAATTTATCGTAGTGATGATTTTATATTAATTAAATTTATTCCGAACTTATGTTCCATTTAAAATAATTTTCAAATCCAAATATGAGAAAATTTTTATCCTAAATCGTGATGAATATATATATCGTTATATCAAACATTTAAAAAATGCAAAATTATAAATATTCGACGAATTTCCATAATTAATTTAAATTTGCCAACGATTGATTCGATTAAAATGAACAAAAGAAACCAACAAATAATCATACAACAAAACCTATCGAAATAACAAGAGAAGCAAGAAGCAAGATCAAAATATGAAATAATAAAATAATACCTTTCAAATACCTTCTCGTACATTAAATACGACAATTTACTATGTTATTCACAGAATCTTGACTCCTCAACGAGAACGAAGATAATTGATTGCACGAGGTAATGTCGAGGGACAAGGCTCGAAAAACTAGGTTGAAATATTATTCGTGGGAGGGGTGACACGTTATAAGGTGGCTGCATTAACCTCGAAATTAAGAAAATTACCGGCCAGCCTGGACAAACCGGCTAAACCGTGTAAATTCCTCTCCTGGTCCGCTACTATTTTTCTGGCACAAGAGCGCCAGACAATAATACATCCGGCGGGAAATACGCCCGAATAAAAATTACGACTGGCAGCGTTGTTAATATCTTACGATGGAGTGCACGAGTAGAAGATTCGTAATTACAGTTGAAATTCTGCTCGATTTATGGCGCCGCGATATTCATGATGGACTCACAGTGGTCCCAGAAAATGTTGGAAAAATTTCAAGGGTGAATTTTTCTTTTTTTTTTTTGTTCGAAATTGATACATAATAGCAACGTGTACAGAATCTATTTTTCAATCATAAAGAATATTCCATCGGTATTTATCTCTTCGATTCGATTCTTCTTTCACGCGTATCGAAAAAGTGAATTTTTTTCCCGAGATTTTGGAATCAAATTCCGAATCTTTTTGGATGATTCTGGCCAGGTAAATCCACTATCTCTCTCCCATGGAAAAATTTTACTTTCAAACGATAGTCTCTGTTTCGCGGCCACGCAAAATACGTATCAAGCGTAATCGCATCTCGCCTATTAAATTAACATATACGGTTGGAGTTCTTCAAAAACGCCGAGTCTGGCGTACGGCCAACCGTTTCTTTTGCCCGATACGAGGATGGAAAAACGGCGGAATTCGCTGTGAAAGATCCGTGCTTTTTCCACGATATTCTTGGCGAATTGAAACTGCGAGAAGTTGTAAATGCACGAGGAAACCGTATGAAGATGTAATCGTGATTTTATTTCGGATAATGTCGAGATCCCGCTGACGTAGTTGCTAGTAGATTGTTTCATAATACTCGCGAACGAAGTGATAACACACGACGTAGATATACATATATTAAACTCTATGAATAAATTTTCACGAGAATTTTCTTTCATCATCTTCGTTTAATTCTCGCGTCTTGTATTTATTGTAACAAATTGCCGAACTTTTTTGATGAAATTTTATTTAAATTTCATAAACACGATTTCTCCTGGTAAAAATTTGTTCCAGAAATTGCTGACCGAGATTGAAGATACATTTTCTTTTTTTCTTTTGCTATAAAAATCGATCGCTATGAGCGAAGCAAACGTTGCAGATTCGAAGTGCAAAGAAACGAAGAAACGAGGCTCGGCAAACAAGTTGTGAATCCATCGACAACCAAATATCGTTGTATAATATCGAATCGGATAACCTGCTATTAGGTCTTTTATTGTTCTGTTTTATTGCTCATCGTGAAAGCCTTTTTAACGCACGCTTTTACACGGAAGCAGGATCATTACGAAGTTAAAATGTAACGTCGACAACCGAACCGGTTTTAGTTTTGTCACCAAACAAAGCACGGAAAATTCGAATACCTGTTACGCTTGATTCCACATGGACGGTAAATATTAGTTGAATACGTTTCCATATGTAATGTTACGTTTCATTTGATATGTTGTGCGCAATTGTTTCAAGTTTACTCGAAACACGCGCTCTATACACAACGTTCTCGAGTAGTAAAGCTAATGCGAGGTACAATTATATTGTTTGTAATGAATATGCTTATAATGAACGTTATACGACTTTGTAAGAATTGGATAGATGTGCGCGAAATAGTTTCTTCGAAATATTATGTTATATTATACGTAAACTGTTAATATGGAGAATAAAAATTTGATTTCGAAGAAAGCATATGTTTGAGCAGATTTTAAACAATTTCTTCGATCTTATCTATTAATTTTTAAACTTTCAACTATCTAGAAAATATCCAAAGCTTGTTTCAAAATTTGTTCAAAATATTATTGCTATCTTTCGATTGGTAAGCTGATTAAAATTGAATTAGATGACAATACGATGTTTAACCAGAGAAAGAATTCCCTAGATAAATCTATGTAAATTTTTTGACTAGTTTAATCATTCTGAATTTCTCTATAAGAATTATCAATCTTACAATTTAAAATAATTTATCAATTGGAAAAACTATCTGGATGAAATAAATTCCGAATAATTAATTATATGTTTGCATCTTTTTTAAATATTTTCAAGCAAACACATATTATAAAATCGGCAAAGAATAGTCGATATATGATACAATAAATCTCCTTATGTTTTCAAGAGATGTATATATATATATATAGAAGAGCATAAGAAGAAATATGCCCCATTTCCTATGCATCGAAAAGAATTCGCCTCTCAAAATATCTATGTAAATTATCTTAGAAACTTGTATATCCCCATCCTCTTATAAAAATTTATCAACTGACACTATCTATTTTATACGTATAACTCTTTATATTTTTTCTATCTTTATATTTGAACAATTTGCTTCATATAATAATAAAAAAAAAAAACAGTAACTCGAACTAATAAAGTAAAA